CTAACTATAAGATAAGGTCAGGGACTAATAAAAGTATTTAGAAAACTGGGCAGACTAGATGGGTCGAATGGTTCTTATCTGCCGTCACATTCTATCTTTTTATGTTTCTATATCCTTGAGTAAAAGATTGGCATGCTAACATTTTTTACCTCTTAGTTTTTACCTCTTACTTAAACTATGAATCACATTGTTTCAACTAATATTGACATTATACACTTTAATTATAGTTTTCCTTTATATCAGCTTACTATCGCTATTTTATTGTAGACAACTTCGTCCAATATCTCTCATATAATAATTGCCCATAATAGCCTTTATTAAAGATGGCCACATCTTCCCATCCGAGTAAACTACATTTCAAATAACCCCTTGCTCATTGCGGTTACCACGGTATTTTCGCGACCGCATTTAAAATTACTCCGCTTTATAATATAGCTACTACAGTCTTCTAACCCTCCACACACCATAAGTAGTTAAATACACATCCAGCTACTTGTGGCTGTCGCGATCTCGCAGCATACCTACCAAATCTTCTATTTTTATAAATTTTACAAGTTTACACTATTTATATTTCATAATCCATTGCCCAAAGGTTCTTAACTTTTTTTAAAATAAAAAAACAGCACTTTTCACAATATTGCATTAACTACCTATATGCATTATAGTAAACCTAGTCATGTGATCGTGGTCACATGACAATGACGTCATTTTGGAGCCAAAATTTGAATTTCTGTCATTTAGAAACCTATGTAAGTGATGTTGCCAGGTGTCTGTTCTATTGCACTTGATAAAACCTCGATAGGGCAAAAAACGCGTTGTGTTTTTATATTCTGTTAAATAAAAGTAATTTATTTTGACTGCCTGTACTTTTGGGTCAGTCTATGAACTTTTATTTATACCTGGCATCTCCTACCATCTGAAACACCAGAGCCATCATTTAAAGAATCCTAATTGGGGATTGTTCCACCCACACCTGGCACATAGAGCGGTCTGTCTGCTCTTAAAATAGTATATAAAAAAAGTATATTTTTTATTACCTCCTGTACTTACACATATAGAGAGCACTATGGGCCTTCTCTTCTGTTATTACACATGACCTTCACTGCAACTACCAAAGGGATATCCTACAAGTGGGGAGTCTGAATACAACTGTATGCTGTTTTACCTGGAGCTGGTTATAGCTCTTTTAAATGTGAGTTGGCACTTTTTAACCTCAGTGTTGTCTGTATCAACTATATTGCACCATTGGTCCCCTCTGTTTTTGTTCTTTTCTCATATGCTGCTGATGATTTGACCCAAGACATCACATGAACACTTGAAGATTATTGATCTCTAGAGACTTATTGCTTGCTTTTGGTACTTTTTAATGTATTTTTATCATTAGCTATTTATCTGTTATATCCACCCAAATGTTTGTTTTGCCTGACTAGCCATCACCTTATCTGTGCATAGATGCATATCTTTATTCCATAGGTTTGTTGCAGGCCTATCTGACTGTTAAGTTATCTGTCCTCAGAAGTGAACAGAACTCAGATGCCCTCCCACCCTGCCTCTCACCCATTTACCCCTAACATATCTCCTCTTTTATAGATATAATTCTGCATACAACCTTAGCTCTGCAGAAACGACAGCTGCAAACAATAATTGGCAAATCTCTGCATATCTTGTACCCTTGCATTCCATTCTAACCCTCATTACTCCTACTTTTATATGCTGTATGCTTTATTTTCCCAACATCGTACACCACTGCATCTCCTCTCCTAGCCACTCTTGGGTTTTTTCTCCTTCACTAGCTTTGCCTCTCCCTCTCTTCTAACATATTCCCTTCACCATTCATGCATGCATCTCCAAGCCTTTCTGAAACTTTGCATGCTCATCTGAGCAATGCTCTGTCTTCAACTCCTCTTCTTTTCTCTATTTTCTATAATATCAAAATTGCTCCTGTACCCCACTTAACGAAATCACTCAACATCCTCTCCTTTTCCCCCTCTCTGCTACACTCCATCTTCTCTTATCTCACTCTCTGCACTCATTTCTCTCTTTTCTCTCTTAAATGATCTCATCCTAGATCCTATCCATGCAAAACTAGCTCTCGCCTCTTGTCATTGTCTCTCTTCCTGCTTCTAGCAGCTGGTGATATGTCTGCCAAACCAGGACCTTTTGCCTCCTCTACTCACATTAACCTAACCAGAAAACATATCAACCTCATCCCTGTATTCTTTCATTACTCATCATCTACCAATGTTTAGTGTGCACTCTGTAATGCCTGCTCTGTCTGCAGCAAACTAAAATCTACAACTATACATGTTCATTTTAAAATCTCTTACAATACTAGCACACACGTTGTTGTCACTACTAATGCTTCTTTATGTTTCGATGGCCTACAATTCTCCTACACTCCCAGACTTGACAACTGTAAAGACGGAAGTGCAGACATCCTTCTTTCTCCCCAATTTACCTTTCAACTAATCTTACCTGCCCCAGCCTTATTTTTTTTCCTTCTTTTGAAGTTCACACTGTCTGCCTATTTAAACCCACTCCTTTAAGAATTGCCATAATTTATCTCCCACTGGTCATCCTGGCCTATTCATTGAGCACATTTTTTCCTCACTACCTTCCTCTCCTCCTCCAGCACTCATTCTCTTATCCTTGGGACTTTAATATCCCAATCAACAATTCAAAAATGCTCCAGAATTGATGAACGCTGCTAGAGAAAGTATCATTCTGCATCTGACTTCCTCCACTATAAAATTATGCTACACTCGTACAGTTTGGCTCTTTCGTCTGCAAAAGCAATGCACTTTAAAACCCTCATAACACAAATACATCTTTCACACTTTTAACTATCTACTTCATCCTATTTCTGCTGCTCCTCCTACAAACTTTGCAACTCACTTCACTGAAAAAATTTCCATGATCAGATTCTGAGATCTCTAATCCCTCTCCTACCCCTACCAATACTTAGTTCCACCAACCCCACTCTATCCTCTGCTTGCACTCATTACTCCAGAAGTGGTTTCTGCTCTGCTTTGGTCCACCCACCCTACCACCTGTTCCCTTGATTCTATTACCACACACCTTGTTTGCTGCTTTATCCTTATATGTCCTAGACTTACAATGGATTGTTAACTAAACAGTTATTTATATCATGCAAAAGTAATAAAATTATCTTTTTCCTTTTAGGTGAAGTGAAAACCAGTTGGAGATGAAAATAATTTCCAAGTACAACATAATTTCTTTAGATTCCAGGAAAATGGAATAGAACAATTATTACAAACAAAATTAGAGAAAAGGAATCTCCTTGAAAAAAGAAAAACATTATAATTTTTAAACATAAAGTGTAACCTGGTGAATAGTCATTTTAAAGCATAGACCAGCTCTCTAACATGGGAGATATGGACATTTAAGCTGGACATAGACAACATGGACATAGAAAAACGCACCAGAGCAGGAATCCATCTAACCTATGTTCGGGGAACGTTCTCTGTAAAAGGCAATGTGCCAACATTGAATGTGGTATAAATGTGCCTGTGCAAGAAATATATGTTTTATATGAAAAACGCAAAGAGACACTATAGTCACCAGAACAGCTAAAGTATTTGTTCTGATGAGTATAATAGTTCCCTTCAGACTTTTTGCAGCAAACACTGTATTTTCAGAGAAAATGCAGTGTTCACATTACAGCATAGGGATACCTCCACTAGCCATTTATCAGATGGCTACTAGAGGTGCAGCACTCCCATTAAGTATCTCCACCCTCTTCATGGAGACACTGAACTTTCCTCATAGAGATGCAGATTCAATGCATCACTATGAGGAGATGCTTATTGGCCAGGTCTGTTTTTGACTTGTGCTGGCTCTGCCCCTGATCTGCCTCCTCGACAAGCTCAGCCAATCCAATGCTTTCCCATGTGAAAGCATTGTTATTGGTTCAGAACACCACTTCTGATGATGTTAGCCAAGCAAGCAGATCAGGGGCAGAGTCAGCAGCAGCAGACTGGAAAAAAGTAAGATGTTGCTATATTTGGTGGGGCAAGAGGAGGCCAGGAGGGCTAGATGGTGGTTTTAACAATATAGGGTGAGGAATATGTTTGTGTTCCTCACACTATCATGTTATTTAATAAAATATGATTTACAAAAAACACACAATTTTTTTTAAATGGTATGTTAGTGAGACAAGATAGTCCTTGAATAATAACTTTAAAATTTCTAAAATAATGAAAAGCCTTATCACCCAATAACCAATTTAAAGTCATATCCATTCCTACATAATCAGTACACAGGTATGCTATAAACAGGGCCGGACTGGCCCACCAGGATACCGGGAAATTTCCCAGTGGGCCGGCATACTATTGGGACACATGGAGGGCTGGGCGGGGGGCTAGTAGGACACATGGAGGGCTGGAGGGTTAATGGGACACACATGGGGCCTCATGGGACACATGGGGTGCTACTGAGACACATGGGAGGACTAATGAGACACATACAGTGCTGGGAGGGGTGATAGGGACTCATGGAGGGCTGGGAGGGATCGCTAGTGAGACACATGGATGGCTTAGGGAGGCCATATGGATGGAGAGAGCGCTAATAGGACACATGGAGGGCTGGGGCTAATGGGACACATGTGGGGGCTACTGAGACATGGAAGACTGGAGAGAGTGGAATGAGACAGATGGAGGGCTGTGGGGTAATAAGACACATGGAGGGGCTGGGGGAGGAACACACGGAGGTGTGTGGGAAGAGAGAGACAGAGGGGTTGGGAAAGGGGAACAGAAGACACACAGAGGAGCTGAGGAAGACAAACAAGACACACATAAAGGGGCTGGGAAAGAGGAGAATGAGACACACAGGGTGCTGTGGGGAAAGATAAACAGAGGTGCTGGGGCCTGGGAAAGAGACTCACATAAGGGCTGGGGAAAGGGAGAAAGACAGTGGGGCTGGGGCTAAGAGACACATGAAAGGGCCTTGGGGGAGAAAGACACAAACAAAATGCATCTTCACTTGTGTCTCCTTCTCTCCCTGTAACTCAGAGTTGACCGGTGAGAGAAAGACGTCATATTAAACGGACACTAGAGTCACCAGACCTACTACAGTTTAAATTTGTGGTTCTGGTGTCTATAGCCTGTCCCTGTAGGCTGAGCACTGTAAATGCTACCTTTTCAGAGAAAATGCAGTGTCTACATTGCTGCCTAGGCACATCTCTAGTGACAGTCACTCAGACGGCCACTAGAGATACTTTCTAGTCCAGTGCTGTACATTTTGCATGGAGGCGCTGATAGCTCCCTATAGAGATGCATTGATGCAATGCATCTCTATGAGGAGATGCTGATTGGTGCGGTGAAGCTTTCCTATGGGAATTGAATTGGCATTGACTGAAATTTATCCAGTTATAAGCCAAAGTGAAGAGTACACTCCTATTACTTTAAAAAAAAAACAAAAAAAAACAAGATAACATTTTTTTTACTTCTGTGCAATAGCATACATTCACAATTTCAGTCCAAATGACCAAACTTTCCGTAATATATCAAGAAAATTGATTGAAATTATATGCAAATGCACGTCTGCTTACAATAAATCAGCTCTTTTGTTTATTTTGAAGCCCTGTGAGTGCTTTCTTTCATGTTTGAGTGATCGTTGTTTTTTTTCCCACTTCCATATCTGCACACTATACTAGCGTGATGCATTATGGGGCTGTTATAAAAAAATTTTTCCAGGTGTGCTTTTCATTCCCGGTCTGGCCCTGGCTATAAATGAGGCAGAAAGTTCTGTTTTCCCATAATGTTTCAGATGTAAGAATGTCATTTTCACTATAACAAATTCTCAGTGATTGTCGTTTTTAAATGGCTAATGTGGATTGCCACTTTGTTTTCCCAATTGCTGATTAAAAGCTATTCCATGATCCCTATGTTACAATACTTACTACACACAAATGTTCATGGTACAGTTTAGGTAATAACTCATGTGCCCAAATAATAAATCTTTTACAGATGTCATTAGCCATTAACTTTATTGCATTGGTTTTGACTAGGTGTAAAAGACTGCTTTTAAACACAAAAGCAAATCTAAAAATACTAAAAAAAAAAATATTGAAATTCAGTGAACTCAGTGAAAGAAAAGAATAAAGATAAATGTTTGCTAATCTAAATGCATGTAATAATTTTATCCAATAATCTGCACTCTGCAAAACATGTCACAGGTAGTGATGTACCGAACGGTTCGCTGGCGAACGGTTCCCGGCGAACATAGCATGTTCGCGTTCGCCACGGCGGGCGAACATATGCGCGGTTCGACCCGCCCCCTATTCGTCATCATTGAGTAAACTTTGACCCTGTACCTCACAGTCAGCAGACACATTCCAGCCAATTAGCAGCACACCCTCCCTAGCAGACCCTCCCACCTACTGGACAGCTTCTGTGTCAGGCTCACAGTGCCCATTTCCCAGTCAGTGCCACCAA